TCACCTCCCCATGCGATATATTTTGGTGTTTTGTCAAAGATCAGTTGGCTGTATGTAGATGCGTTAATTTCTGGATTCTTGATTCTGTTCCATTGATCTATGTACCTTTCATTGTACCAGTACCAAGCTGTTTTGACCTCTGTAGCCATGCAGTAAATTTTGAAGTCGGGGAGTGACAGGCCACCAACCTTATTCTTATTCTTATTCTTAAGCAGTGCTTTGCTTATCCTGGGTCTCTTTCCTTTCCATATAAAGTTAGTAATTGCTTTTTCCATCTCTTTGAAGAATGTCTTTGGAATCTGGATTGGGATTACATTATATGTGTAAATTGCTTTGGGTCACTCCCTTTTAAGGCATCCTGATGTGGCTTTGTAGGGTAAGCACTGGACTCTTAACAACAGTGTCATCCATTCAAATCCACCAGCTCTTCCTCATAAACCCAATGTGGTGGTGGTGGTGATTGTGTGCCACCAGGTCCGTTCCACATCACAGCTATCTTGTAAAGGTTTTCTGAGGCTATACATCTTTGCAGGAACAGAAAGCCTCCTCTTTCTCTCTTGGAGTGACTGGTATATTCTAGCTCCTTACCTTGTAGTTACCAGCCCAGCTTGTAATCCACTACGCTACCAGGACCCCTTTGGAAGCCCTACATGAGGTAACTGATTTGTAACTTATTTAATTGCACTTACCAACAATCTCCTTCTAAAGATAGCAATACTGTATGATTTATCTGTGTGCATCATTATTAAATTTGTGGCCAAAATCTAGCAAAACTGTTTTTGCTTATTGTAAAATCACTTAACTCTCAGCTTTCTGAATTTTTAGTTATTTACATGATGGTAATCTGCTTTCGTGTTACCTTATATTCAGACTTAATGTCTCCTATTATTTATTAGGTATTTTAATCAGCCTTCGCTTTTGAAAGTATACCTAGAAATATGAATTTCAGCATTGGATGAAATAGAATGTTAAAAATAAGTTTTTAAAATTAGTATTCCAGTGACAAAAAAACATGAATTTTAGATTATTTGCATAATGAGTGTTCATAGTAATGGTAAAAATTGGCATAATTTGAGATTTGAAATTCTATTTTAATTTCAAAGGACTGTCATTTGACAATAATAATCATAAAGATAGAAACAGTCAAGTAATTCCAGTAGGTTAAGACTGAAGCAGTTTACTTTCTGATTGGGAGATGAGAATGGGACTTAGAAGTAAGAGTAATGGTTAAGCCTAAGAAATTTTCTAAGATACCTAAACTGAAAACAATCGTAGATAACGTTTTTTTGTTTGTTTGTTTGTTTGTTTTTTTCAATTGGTCAAATTTCAGTTTATTAGTAACCTGTCATCTTAGCATGAAAACAATAATAAATAATCAGTAAGTGAAAGAATGGAACTGTGCTCCTATAAAACTTCATTTATGGACACTAAAAAATTACATGGCATGATATTTTATTCTTTTGACATTTTCCCTAATATTAAGAAATGCAAAAATTATTTATGGCTTAGGGGCTGTACAAAAACAAGGCAATGGACTAGATTTTACCTGCAGGCTGCAATCTGCCAACTTCGTTGTTTGAGGTTGGATTCTCTAGCAAATCAAACCCACCGTTGTCAAATTGATTTAGATTCAGTAATCTTAGAAGCAAAAGAAGTGATGCTTATATAAAGAGAGATAAGTCAACATATTGCTACAAAATCATAGAAACCTTTGTTAAACAAAAATATCAAAACATTTTTCTACATCTCCTCCATCTAGGTCTATATACTTCTGAAGATCGTGTCTCCATCTTGCTAACTCTTCCACAAAGAATTCATTGCTCTTCAATTTACACTGCATCAAAATGACCGTTTTGCCATTCTTGAAG